ATAAACCTTACGTGTCTGCTCCGCAAATGTACAATTTGGCGAAAATTAATGCATCTTATTTGGACGAGTTTTTCCGCTTTGTCGCAATGCCGGTTGTTGCTCAGGTCACTTATTGCGCTTTCGGGGCAACGGACAACGAATGCAAACCGTATCCTGGTGGTGAGACCCTGAAACATTAAATATATCAATGTCCATCAATTTTTTTCAGCTTCAGCAACTTTCCCCAGAATGGAAAAACTTATGACAACTTGGCAGCTTAATTTTAAAAGAAAATTTTAAAGGAAAAACTATGAGTTTTTTTTATTTAAACTATTTCCGGTGAAGAGATGACGCACAAAAGTGCATCAAAATTAAAAATGGCTGCAATACGCCTGAAAAACTTGAAGATTTTTTTTAGGCATGAGAAATACAATAAATTATTATTCAACTTCACCCAAAACTCAAAGAGAACCTCATAAACGACTCAAGCATATGTCAGGTATATGATTGATATGTCAGGAGTTCATATGTTGATATGTCAGGAGTTCAGGACTACTCAAATTTACATTGCATTTGCAATGGATTCATCATGGAAGGCTTATAAAAACCACCTTTCTGACTGCCAGTGACATCTACCCACTGTAAAACAATCTTTGATGAAGTGGACAATCCAATAATTGATTCACAGGAATTTAATCCTTGGATGGCAACAGCCTCCATTCCATTTCACAGCAAAGTCCAGATTTTTTGCTTTCATAATTCTTCAGTGCTAATCCTTCGCTAGGAATGCAGGAAAAAAGTTCAGAATTTTTTTATATACAGTACTGTACTATAGGCATATTTTGTGTAGGATTGAAAAAAAGGATTTCAATTTTTCAAACTTAGGCCTTGGTACAGAAATGCAATTTTCAAATGTTCAGTGCTCATGAAGGGCACAAAATGTTGCAAAATATCCTGATTCTGTTAAACAAGGGTTAACGTCATATTTCACTATACCCAGCAGATACTCTCTTGTAACCATTCATACAATACTTTAATTTCCTGGCAATGAAGGAAAAAATCGGCATTAGTTCTAAAACTTTTCTAGCTGGCTCACGCGTTTGATTTCAAAAAAATTGCACTCCTATTGATCAACAGCAAAAGGGTTATTCTACAATTGGGAATCTGGAAACTCGTCCCTGATAGACACACCAAGTGGAAAGTGGATAACTAGAATGATTGAAGAAAACATCGGCCCTTTCGACGACAACATCGGAAAATGTTCGACACTGGTTGGCAGAAACCTCACTTTAAAGCACGGTTTACACAACAGAATCATCATTGACCTCGACTCCGGCATCCGAAGACCACCGCTGTACAATTACAGATCAGGGTAATAAAAAAAGAGTCGCTCAAATAACTCAAAATTTGATTCGAAAAAATAGAAGTTTCTTATTCACAGAAGCTGGAACGAATGGCTTACGAAGTCTGACTGGTTGACGACATCCTGGTCCTTGTACATTCACGAAGTCAAAGAAGCCGTCGGAAGTTACGCTTTGGTCAACGAAATCGAGAGGCTGAAAATAAATTTTGACACCATCACGGACGTGACATTTACAACGGAAAAATACATCACCTTGTCCAAGGACGATCAGCTTTGCAACGACGATCCAAGCTACAGTCATCAACGAGTTGTTTCTTCTATCTTTCATGACATATTTGATCTGATATAATCAGCTTTCATTCTTTCGAAACCCAGCAAAATTTTGAAATTTATGTCGTTAATGTTCGCAAGCTAAACGCGTGTTGTACAACTATTCGTACAATTAAATCGGTCTTGGATTTAAAATCGCAATTTTAAGATTAATCATCAGAACAAAACCGCGCATCTGTGATGATAATTATTTCACAATTCAACTTCGAATTTAAAACATAATCTCGATTTCCAGTGCAGGCAACGCTGTTACGAAGAATTCGTCATCCCGTGTACGATTCCGGGGGTCAACCAAGAAAATACATCCGCAATTTCTCAAAAAAGCCGCGAGAAAACAGGATTCAAGCAGCCGAGGGAATGTAACATGAAGGACACCCGAGATGACATTGATTATGGTTTAGTAAAAGCAAGTTTATTCACCAGAAATGGAAGCAGGGCGTTTCAGGATGCAATGGATAATTGCTGTGCTAAACCTTGCACTTATTACAGGTACGTCTCCTTATAGCCAGCTTATATTAAGACGAAAAAAAAACAATCACGATCAAGAAAGTGTTAGGATATTCAACCAAGGCCAAAATTGCAGGTTACCAGACTGAAATTCAATCAGTTCAGAATTTTGCAATGAATATACTGTCGAAAAACTAAAAATATAGGGTAGCACGGAATTTTTTAAACCAGCTCAGAACGAGTTCTACTTTTAAAAATCTTCAATGTAGTTTCGAAAGAAGGTTCCAATTTTTTTATTTTTTCTTTTTCTTTCCAGGTTTCGGGCCCAACAGTTTCTAAGGTCATGGAAATTATTTTTATTTACAAAAGAAGGGAGAAAGTTCATTCAAACTTCCACACGTCCAAAAACTCAATGACTGTCGCAGGATTGAATTCGATTCAAGATCAAATTTTTACTTTTTATCACTGTACTTTAGAGTCGATCAAAATATTCTGGCCCACTCTTACAAGACTTACAAATCCTGAGTTCAATTTAAAATGCCGGTGCTTCGGGGGATGATTGAATTACTTTCTTCTTATAGCTACGTCTACAAAAAAGCCTCAGAGATGAGAATGCTCGGCGTTAGACCAGCTGAGGATTCATACAAGGCAAAAATCCGCATCGGAATCGGAGACAGTCGCGTCAAGGTGGTGGAAGNTCATCATACTTCGAAGGATGTCTCAAACTGAACAATAAAAGTAATTCCGGAAAATCCGTTTCTTCTTTGTATTCGATTCTTTCAAGTTGCAAAATCGACAACGAAGAGCAGCTTTTCCCAGAGACCCAAACTCATTCAATTTTACGAGTTTTTTCAAGACGCAATCAAACAATGTATAGACCAATTTCTGTTTTCACGCAATAAGAATTCCTTTCTGAAGGCCACCGACACAATGTTTTCGCCTGTGCTTGGAAGGAATATTATTTCAGCATGCCGTTGCCCTTGGAAGAGTAACAGGCACATCATTCAATCCATAAATCCCAGGCGGAGCATCTTGAATTTGCGTTAAGTCCACTCGAAAATTGAGGAACATGAACGTCAGCCAATTATTCGGATCGAAAATCGCAACGTTTTTAGTTTCATGCGTGCCTTTGAACCCCGGGGTACGACGAATTGGTGTCTCTTCATCGAGGCTAATGAACCACGTTCCTTCGGGGATATAATAACGCCAACCTCGCTTGTACCTACACAGAAAAAAAAGACTTGTCATAAGCCATCAATTTTCCAGCTTGAGTACAGCAGTATATTATCCATTTCACTGAAAATGACTCACAATTCAATGGCAATTTGCATACGACGCTCATCTTGGTAAAATGTCATGAAAAAGCAGAAGAACAAACAACTGGTTCCCATGCGAGAGTAATCGATCTCTGGAAGCAGATGGCTGGAACGAAAAAGCAGAGCAAGACAAAATTTCAAATGAATCAAAATATTTTGATATATATATTCAGCTCGTAGTATACACTACACTCGATAGTTTGATGAAACTTGGTGGCATCAACTCAAAAAATCAAGAATAAAGAAGCATGAACGTATTAAAAAATTATACATAACTTGTTTTTAACTTCAGCTTACAATGAACATTGTCTTTTATCTTTCGAAAATTTTCGAGAATAACAATAAAACTTGCCTGATTTTCATGACAAGAGGTCCGATGAATTCAGTAGATTGGCCCACACATCGACTGAGATTTTTAAACTCTTCAATCTTTTGCGTCATGTCTTTTTC